AGTTTGTTATAAAAATGTTATAGTTTGTTATAAAAATGGTATAGTTTGTTATAAAAATGGTATAGTTTGTTATAAAAATGTTATAGTTTGTTATAAAAATGTTATAGTTTGTTATAAAAATGTTATAGTTTGTTATAAAAAATGTTATAGTTTGTTATAAAAATGTTATAATTTGTTATAAAAATGTTATAGTTTGTTATAAAAATGTTATAGTTTGTTATAAAAATGTTATAGTTTGTTATAAAAATGGTATAGTTTGTTATAAAAATGGTATAGTTTGTTATAAAAATGTTATAGTTTGTTATAAAAATGTTATAGTTTGTTATAAAAATGTTATAGTTTGTTATAAAAATGGTATAGTTTGTTATAAAAATGGTATAGTTTGTTATAAAAATGTTATAGTTTGTTATAAAAATGTTATAGTTTGTTATAAAAATGTTATAAAAATAAAAATTTTTCTGTAGATGCGGAATGCCCTGAACGCCAGCGAGGACGACGACCTGGTCCAGGTCGCGGGGCTCGCGAAGACCGCGAACGGGACCAACACGGCCGTCTCCCTCCGGCTCGTCTACGACCTGCCGAGGGGCGCGGACGACCCGGTCGCGAAGATGACGACCCTCGCCGGAGCGAAAATCCTCAAGAAAGTCGCCCTCACCGGTTCGTGGGATTTTGCGTGGATCCAAATGCATCATTTCGATTCGTTTTGGATGATCGTAAAAAACCAGCCCTGGTGGCACACCCACGTTGGCTGCACCGTGCCAGATATTGTCAATTTCGGCTAAATATTGGCTCCCAAATATTGCCATTCCATCATCGGCCCAATATAGGACCAATATTTGCCCCGGCAATAATCCCAATAGTGGTCCAAGATGGGTGCCAATCTGCAGATTCCTTGGCAGTCGATCCCATGGAGGGGCGCCACTGGGGTTGTACCCAATCGGCCCAACGCAGGACCAATACTGGACCAATGTACCCCAAGTTGACCATTGGGCTTCGACGATTCGCACGTGATCGTTCGGCTCCCTCAGCCTGTCTGGAAGTACCCCACGGAGCAGTACTTCAGTACTTCCTTCGTCTTCTGCCGCCTCCACTTTTCGTGCCCCATCCTCCGAATCTCCAAAGACTGGATAGGGCGAGGACGAGGGGCACGGAGGCTGCCTCCGTGCCCCTCGTCCTCGCCCTATCCAGTGCAGCCCCGATTTGAGTCGTGGCTCCTCCGCGATTAACGGGAGTCTCGTTGGACTGCCTGACCTGTTTAAACAAATGATTTGAGGAATTCCAGGGCGTTCTGTTGGGAAAATATCAAGTACCGCATGAAAGGTACAGGGGACTTACAATGATGAGTCTCTCCCCGATCACACCGAAATAGAGGCTACATATACGCCATCTCGTGTCATCTCTGGGAAGCTTTTGGTTCTAATAACTGAGATAGACGTCTCCTCTTGAGGCATGACACATGTTGGCCCTAGCGGCGATGTGGGGCCTACATGAGCATCTCTCATCGCAGTGGGCCCAGCGCTGTCTGCTACCTGTGAAACTCAGAAAATGGAATTTACTTGATTTACATTTTCGTTTCTTCCGCCAAAGGGAAGGACAAACAGAAGGCAATGATGAAGCTGGAGAAGATTCTCGACATGGACTGGAAGACAGAAGTGGGAAAAATCGCTGGTGTAAACGCCGGGCTCCTGGACCTCGCGACGAAACTCGGCCAGATCTCGGTCCGTGTCGTCGCTAGATGTCGTTCGTCGCATGACCGATCCTCCTGAATCGTTCCCTCCTTGCAGAACGTGACGGCGGCCAAGACGAATCTGGTAAATTCGGCGTGGCGGTACTGGCGAAAGGCGATGGCGAGCAACCCCTCGATGGCCGACTCGGTCGTGGACACGAGCAGTCTCATCGCGTCCGTGCAGAACTCCCTCCCGGCCGCGGAGAACAAAGAACAAGTCGGGACTTTGCTCTCCGCCCTCTGCGCCCTCTACCAGGACGACAACACGACCTGCGCAGGTTCGTTCCCCCGCTCCGACCTCCTTCCCTCGAAGCCTCCCAGGAACTCACGATCGTGAAATTTCACAGCGAGTGTCCTGGCCATCAGTCCCCCCCTCCACACGCACGCCACAGTGCTGAAGCTCAACAACGTCTTCAAGCCCGGAATCCACGACAACGCCACCCACCCGGACGCCATCGCCCTGGCCGAGACGATCCAGCAAGAGGTTCGATCTCTCCCACCCCAAAACCAATCCCACAGCATAACCCCCCCCTTTCTCCCTCCAGCTGACCAACAACTACCAGCTCGCCGGCGGACAGGACGTGAAAGTGCACGTCTCCCTCCCCTTCAGCCCCGGCAGCATCGAAGCCAACGCCTCGACCAGCTTCAGCAGCGACACCGTCGATCCGAGTCAGGTAGAGCAAGATGCGGCGAACATCACTCAGAACAACGGCGTGAACGGCACTTCCGTCTCCGTGACGAGTAAGACATCTCGATGAGCCACATTCTTCACAGATGAACAGAACCCCTTTCACGCCCTTCCCGCACGAATATTCAAATACAATTTGGACGCGAACTCGGTATCGGCATTGGAAGCAGCTTAGCTCCCGATCCCAATTAGGGAAAAAAAATCACAAGAGCAGTTCTCACGGTTGGGGCATGACAAAATTAAACAAATCGAAGCAGCATTCTCACAAATTCGCCGAAACATCAATCAGTCGATATCATCAATATCAAACATCAGCTCTCGAGGAGTCGGAACCTCTTCTTGATGTATTGCTAGAGTTCTCTAAGCTTCGTCTGCCCATCGCGATGCGCACGGAACTTCGAGAGGGCTTCGTGGCCTCAGATGAGTTGAAGTCGGGCGATGTCCCTCGGGTGCGATGCGACGGGAAGAGCCCGAATTGGCTCGAGAGATGCACGCGGTTGTTTGTGCATTATGGCACCATTGGTCAATAGGCATGAAGGGGACATTGAGCCATCGACATAGTGGCGCTCTATATCTGATTTTGTTTTTCTCTTCCTTTTTTTTCCCCCTTAAAACACATGTGTCGTTCTTCGGAATTTTAAGCCCTTACGTCTCGTGGCTTGGGTGCTGAGTGGCTCCAAAGGCCGATACTGACTTCATGGTCACACTCTACAGCAAAAAACATAACGAGAATCATATTTACAGCCAACGATACAACGACGACACCGTTACCCACATCAACAATACCTGCAACGACTCCAAGCACCCCCACAACTGTCGCACACGCATCAACCGACGCCAGCGTGACAACTACCAACTCCAGCACCATCCCGACAGCAACCACACCGAATCCCGGCAGCGCCGATGTAACATCAGCAAGCACCAGCACTACTCCAACAACAGCCGCAATGTCGTCCAGTAGCTCTGCTGCAACATCTGCTGGTATGGCAACCACCCAGAAATCGGACACCTCGACGTCCGGCAGCACTGGTGGAACAACGGCATCTACGAGCATGACAGCTGGAACTTCATCTGAGACGTTAGGGTCTACGAGTGGGACAACAGGAACTTCTGGAACAACAGGGTCTACGAGTGGGACAGCTGGAACTTCTGAAACAACAGGAACTTCTGGAACAACAGGGTCTACGAGTGGGACACCTGGAACTTCTGGAACAACAGGAACTTCTGGAACAACGGGAACTTCTGGAACAACGGGAACTTCTGAAACAACGGGAACTTCTGGAACAACAGGAACATCGGGCGGAACTTCCAGTAGTACTAGTGGCACACAGACATCTGGCACTGCTGGCAACACTCAAACATCTGGCAGCACTGGAGGCTCCCAAACCTCTAATAACGCACAAACCTGTTGTTCCAACGGGAACTTCTGGAACAACGGGAACTTCTGGAACAACGGGAACTTCTGGTACAACGGGAACTTCTGGAACAACGGGAACTTCTGGTACAACGGGAACTTCTGGTACAACGGGAACTTCTGGAACAACTGGAACATCTGGAACAACAGGGTCTACGAGTGGGATAGCTGGAACTTCTGGAGCAACGGGAACTTCTGGTACAACGGGAACTTCTGGTACAACGGGAACTTCTGGTACAACGGGAACTTCTGGAACAGCAGGAAATTCTGGGACAACAGGAACATCGGGTGGAACTTCCAGTAGTACTAGTGGCACACAGACATCTGGCACTGCTGGCAACACTCAATCATCTGGCAGCACTGGAGGCACTCAAACAAGCTCAAACAATCCAAAGACACAATCCAATTCTAATGCAGGTGAGATATTCTGGTTAAAATAATTTCTGCTTCCATTTTTGGTTCCAGGTTCCTCAACTAATGACACTGGAACTACAAATACAATTGTTAGCCCTGCAGCATCCAATGCTTCATCCAACACTTCATCCAGCTCTTCATCCAACACTTCATCCAGCTCTTCATCCAACACTTCATCCAGCTCTTCATCCAACTCTTCATCCAACTCTTCATCCAACTCTTCATCCAACTCTTCTTTAAATGTTACAAGTCCTGCGACGCCTGCAGGAAACAACAGCACAGGTAGCGACTTATCATGGCGAATCGCCATCTCTGGCGTCACTCTCAAGGACCTCGTGGTCGCATCTAACATCTGGGATGTTGGCTCATTTTCTGAGACATTCTAATGAAATCGGTACTTTTTTGTTGCAGTGACGCTGCAAGTTCGGGGATTCCACATCACAAATATCCCATGGATTGATGCCTACGCTCAGAACACATCGAATGAATTCAAGGCTCTTTGCTCCAGGATAGAGAATGGCGTATGTTCTTTACGATTACCCGTCGACCGAAAAAGCATTGCCACGGTCATGCGAGACCATAAGTGCAATCGTCCAGGCCCGAAGCATTGCTCCCATATGATATTTCAGTCAGGTTAATATATGTTTAAGTTACCAGTGAAATAGAGGGTACATGAAGACTTGCGCCTTTCTGCCCAGACCGTACGAGCCCTGGCAGGATCCACCCAAAAAGTCCTCTACCAAAATATCGTCTGCCTGGCCAACCGACCCGGCAGCGTGAGCTCGGACTTCAACCTCGTATTCAACCAAAGCGCGAACCTCCAGACCATCCAGGACACGCTCGACAACAACACCCGGAGGCTGGATGGGACCTATCTCTTTGGGGATCTCCAAAGCGACCTCCCTCCTTCCGGTGAGATGGCAGCTTACTATTGAGAGCCTTGAATTTTGTTAAGTTCTTAAGTTGGTGCTTTCTTCAATCGTCAGAACTAAACCCGGAAAATGCTTATTGCAAAACCAAAAATCATATTCATGATGAATCCACGTCAAATCATAAATCATGAGATTGTACCACTACCAGTCCTTTTCCTTTTATTTTAAATCACGAGATGATGATGAATTTCTCTGGTAGGGAGGGCATCGGCAGTGCCTGTCCAGATCGCCAAGATGTCGTCGGACAGGGGATCTCGCCTCTTCTGGCAGGTCACAGTGCCTTCTATGGCCGGTATGTGTGTGGAAACTTGACGCGTTCATGTGAGGAAAGCGGATTTCACGATTTTCTTTTCGTTTTCGAGGAATTATATATAAATCCCCTTTTTATTTCTTAAAATCTCGGTTTAACAGTTTCACATTTTTAATGAAGGCGGCCGCAGCAGTTTTTGCTGTCACCTTTGGGAATTTTTAGCGAACCTTGCAATTTTTTAGACAAAAAGCTTCACGGCAGCCATTCCACCCACTCGGGTCCCCCTCCATCGCGGTCGGCTGAAGAAAGGCAAAAGCCTTGAAAAAATGGTTTTCACCCTACTCCACTCTCCTCCTCCTCCAGGGCTGGCCCTGCTGATCCTGATCATGCTGTGCTGCACTGCAAACGCAAAGGGATGCTGCTGCAAGGCTTGCAGCGGCAAGTAGCCCGGACGGACCTTGCCTCCCGGACCGCCCTGGACCTTGCCTCCTGGACCACCCTGGACCTTGCCTCCTGGACCACCCTGGATTCCTTCTATCCCCTCTTTCGTGATTTTGACGTGATTTTGACCTAGGACGACCTCTTCCGTCTCCGGCTCCCGCGGGTTGCCCCGAACGGGAACGCAAACGACACCAAACGACACCGACGAAGCAACCCGACCGACCCCCAGACGGAAAGGGAACCGAACGTAGCTTCTAACGCTAATTCGCGCTGAGCTAATCCGCGATGAGCACACTCCCGTCGCTCAAGACCTGTGTGGGAACGCCGCAACAACGAGAAGCCATTGCCTATTTTTGTAATGAAGCGTCTTGAGACACCGGAGCGTGCTCGCATTTGCGAGTAGAGAGTTCTCAATAAAGTCGGTTGCAACAAGAAATGCGACATTTCTTGGAAACGACATGCCGACGGAAATGCGCCTTGATTTTTGCACAGCTTCGCCCCGATCTGCAAATTAAAATTCGCACATCGAATGCGGCCATGGGATCTCATTCTAAAGGACCTCGAGGACCTTTCTGAGGGTCCCTCATCGAGTCCGGTAATTAGCACCAGAGCAATTACGTCCCACGTCTCACCGAGTTGCCGAGCAACAACTCATCCAACAGGGCCGACCTCTTCGCCACGATGACGACCTGGCGGCACTCGAGGAAGCGAAAACGAAAAATTGTTGTCGATATATCCAGACTCACTTTCTCTCGGAAGGTTTAGTGGAGGTTTTTTTTCCGCCCAAAACTTGAGTCGAAAGAAGGAACATTAGCGCCAAAAAAATCCTAAAATATTCGCAAATCCGTTTATTTAAGTTATAAGTCACGCCGCGCCGGCCGAGCGAGACGCGGCGTGCCGCGTCCAGGGACGTATTCAAGCCTCCATCGCGCGAGGCGCTGAACGCGTCCGGGGACGAAGCGGCAGCGGTCGGCGGAGAGGTTCGTGGCCGACTCAGCGTCCGAATCCCCGAACGAGTCGATTCCCGACTCGACCGCCACGAAGCGGCAGTGTTGTTCATAAAAAGCCACCAGATGTCTCCGTAATATATTTTTTATTATTCAACCTCATCCGCGCAATTTATCAAGGCAAATTGCCTATTCTGCACATTTTTTCCAGTAATTTATTAACAGTATTTCGTTTATAATAATTATTATTAATATTTGTTAAATATATCCCTAATGGATGTAGGGAGATCGAAGAGGGAGAGGAGGCAGGAAGAAGCCGATATCAGACTCGGAGACGGCGAGCACGAACAAAGCCTCCTTTTACAACCGCCCGACCCTCATGCACGTTGAAGAAGGCGACGCTTCGCGGGAGGCAGCGAAGTCGGGCGCCCCGACGCGATGCTCGGAGCCGGCGCGAGATGGCGGTAGTGTTCCCCCGGACTTCCGAATTCGCGTCTGGGCGAGCGGGACCCGGGGAGAAGAGTTTTCTTCCTTTCGCTGTCTTCATCTCATCGTGGTACTCGCAAAGAAGCATTTGGTGAAAGTATAGTTTGCATGGTTCGAGGACAATCCACGATTCTGGAAGGTTTTCAATGCGGGGGCACTCGCAGCCAGCACGTCCTGTTGCGTCTCGTCGACCTTGCCGATCAAAATGACATCCGCGCCTGATAAGGCCCATCCGGCCAGCTGGCACCTGGAGACACCTATTCTTCCTATGGGGCATCTATCCGTTAAACAACTTCCGACAGGATGTAAATCCAGTAAATTCAGCATGAAATAAATTAAAACGTACCTAAAGAAAGAGAATCGTAAACTGCTAGGGCGTAAATTAAACTTCTTCAGAAACAAGTG